ACTAGAATAGGAATTGCTTTTCCATTCGCAACTCCTTCGGAAAGAAGTGATCATAAAACATCCGCTTGAAGGTATCCCAATCCAGTTGAGACATATCAGAAGGTCTTGCACTATCCCACCAATGCCTTGCTTGCTCCACAAGATAGGTGACCTCCACTTGTACCTTGAGCGGGGAAAGACAAGGAATAGCAGTAAAGATTGTCTCCATCCGCTCAATCCATTTCTCTGCATCTGACGGTTCCAAACTTCCCTTGAACTGGGGAGGATCATGACGATGCACCTCTCTCCATACCTTGGTGATATCATTCAGGAGCGGAGGGTAAATCACTCCCTCTGAAGTATCTCCTCCCTGGCTAGCCGCTCGATACTCCTCCCTCTGAGGTAAATCTCCAGCTTGATCACCACTCCTAACCCCTCTTTCTCCTACTCCTCGTGCTTCCATAGTCACCTCATTCTCTCGGTCTTCTTGATTGACCGACTCTTGGTGCTTCCTCGTGAAGTCTTCTTCAAACTTCCTCAGCCTTTCATCCACCACCGCTGTCATCATCTCCCTCATTTGTCTCAGAAAAGCCTCATTCTCTTGAGGCGGTCCATTACCGGCTGGATCTGTTTGACGTGTCCGTACCATCCTTCCTCTCCCCAACTAAGGATGGAAACCCTCATTAGTAAAGAAAGAAAGGAAACACAAAACAAAGAGGGAAGGTATGTATAAAGTATGTATATTGCCACTAGGAAAAGAAACAATTTCAAAGAAACAAACCGGCTCTGAATACCAATTTGTAAAACCCTTAACCTCAAAACATCATAACTCGTCATAAGACCGCTACTATGGTAGAAAAGGAAAGCTGTTAAAACGAGCTACCATAGTAGAAGGAAAATTCATATTTTTAGAAATTGACTTTTAAGCTCGGGTCAACCCGTAGGACGTTGCATGCAACTAAAATGATCCATTCATATCTACTGGGCCTCCGAGCCTCCGGCCCGGGTAACACATACATAAAAAATCAGCCCATCCAAATAGTTTTCCACCAAGTAAAACAAATTCCATAAAACAATAGCAATGGCCTCCGGCCAACTAAACAAGGAGATAACGTATCCTCCAATTTACAATAGATCAACAATCAAAATATCACAAAAGACCCTAACTGTGGCAATATACAACAGATCATACATAGACAAAAAGCAAGAGGCCTACAGCTAACCAAGCTCAAGCCTCTGCGTCTCTTCCCGAAGGCGCACGCCTAGAACCTTCTCCTGAAAACATTGTAAACCACGGGGTGAGACAAAGTCCCAGTAACCAACCTTTCCAATACTAGGTACTACTAAATAGGTGCTCGTGAGGTGTCAAGTGGGGCAGTTCACAAATAATATAAAATGATAGCCACAACAATTCATGCAAGTGCAATGATGCAATCCCATCAACCAAATCCCTCACTTTGGGGGATTTTCAGGAGCCGAAGCCGGCCTATCCCTCACTATGGGGGACGTAAGGAGCCATAAAAGGCCTATCCCTCACTCTGGGGGACGTAGGGAGCCAAAAGGCCTATCCCTCACTATGGGGGACGTACTAAGCCAACCATCATGCATTAATGGAGGCCTTACCACGTGGTAGTAACAGACAAATCTCTCACCAATTCCCAATTAATGCATCATGCTCAAATCATAATCAAAGAGTAATAATCATTTCACAATTAACCTCATTCAGTGGCATATCTTTCACAACTTCAAGATTTCATTCATCATCAATCAAAACCCCACAAGACGGTTTTCCTTTTTATACATAACATATAGTTTGAACACAATTACTACTTGGAGCACAAAACACAAATCTACTCACAATACCACAGAAGCAAGTACTAAGGATTGGAAAGTGGTTACCTCTCGCTTGAGCAAGGAACAACAAACCAACAATGTGGCCCCGTGCACCACCACGACTCACAACCGGTCTACATAAGCACACAAACACACAACCATCATATATTAGCTTTCAACTAATAATGTGGCCAAAACAACACTTGGGGACACAAAATTCCTATCTCCCATCAAAACTCTACCCAACTCAAAGGGTATAACTATCAAAACAACACTCCAAAGTCCTCAAAGTCTATTAAAACATCAAGTCTCCTTCCAAGCATCAATTAGAATTCAAACCTCAAGGACCCACTATAGGAATTCAACCTCCAACATCTCATTTGAGCAATTAAGGTTCCAACAACAAATCTAAACCGATTAAACATCCAATTTAACCCTCCTTAACATAACCCAATTCACAAAACTCAAAATCAATCTCTACATTATCATCCTCAATCCCAAATCATCCATTTCCATAAACCCTAGCTCCAAAAACTCAAGATTCTTTAAATCCAAGAAAACTACACCGATTAAATACTTAAACTAACCCAATGCAATCAATTAAACTCAAAACAATCGGTCAAAAACCTCAGTTTCATCACAACTTAGAAAATCCTAGGGTTCCACCAAAAATCCTCAGAAATTCCAATCAAGAAGATAGATTAGAGGTTAAAATCACTTACTTGAGGTAATGGATCCTTAGAAATGTCTCCTCCAAGCCAAAAGTTCGAAACCCTAGTAGAGCTCCTCTCTCCTCCTTCAGATTTTTCTTATTTTCGCACGCTGAACCCTCCCGCGACTATATAGATTCGCGACCTTTCGCCGCGGCGAACTCTTCGCCGCGGCAATAATCCCGAGAGGGATTACTCGCTTGAAAACCTGACTTCGCCGCGGCGAACCCCAATCTTCACCACGGCGAAAGCTTCCCGAGAGGAAAATCTCGCTCACCTAGAAAACATTCGCCGCGGCATACCCCTACCTTCACCGTGGCGAAACCTTCCCGAAAGGGAAGCCTCGCTCACCTGAACAACTTCGTCGCGGCGTCCCCTAGACTTTGCCGCGGCCAAACCTTCCCGAGAAGACACTCCCCTCTGAAACTCCCGGTGCGTCGCGGCGAACATACCCTGAGAGGGGTACGTTCACCTATTCCTCCAACAAACCTCAAATTCAACCCAAACACCCAGATCAAGATTAAATCACTAATCTATCCTCAAAATCAACCCAAAAGAGGCTATTAAAACCCGATAAAAACTTAAGATGTTACAATTCTCCCCAACTAAGGAATTTTGTCCCCAAAATTCAAGCAATCACACAAAACACCACACAACAAACACAAAACACTTACTAAGAAAACAAACGAGGGTAATCACGTCGCATCCTTTCCTCTGTCTCCCAGGTGGCATCACCAGGACTCATGCCCTTCCAGAAGACTTTCACCAATCGAATGGTCTTATTCCTCAATTGCTTGTCCTTCACATCAAGGATCCTTTCCGGTTCAGCCTGGTAAGTTAGGTTGTCATCCAGCTCTACCTCCTCAGGCTCTAAGATGTGAGACGGATCAGGGTGGTACTTCTTGAGCTGGGACACATGGAACACATCATGTACGTTGGACAGGTGTGGTGGCAAAGCAACTCGATAGGCTACTTCTCCAATTCTCTCCAGAATTTCGAAGGGTCCAAGAAATCTAGGAGATAACTTTCTCGCTTTAATGGACCTCCCAATACTAGTAGTAGGTGTGACCCTCAAAAACACATGGTCACCCTCACAAAATTCCAAAGGTCTCCTCCTCCTATCAGCATAACTCTTTTGCCGGCTCTGAGCTGTCAACAACTTCTGCTTGATGATCTCAATCTTCTCTGTAGTAGCATCTACCAAATCTGGTCCTAAAACCATTCTTTCACTTAGTTCCGTCCAACAAAGAGGCGATCTACACTTCCGGCCGTAGAGTGCTTCATAAGGGGCCATCTGGATGCTGGCATGGTAGCTGTTGTTGTAGGCAAACTCAGCTAAGGGTAAGTGATCAATCCAACTCCCCTTGAATTCAATGGCACAAGCCCTCAACATATCCTCTAGCGTCTGAATTGTCCGCTCGGTCTGTCCATCGGTCTGTGGGTGATATGCCGTACTGAACTTCAACTTAGTACCCAAAGCCGCATTCACCGCTTTCCAAAAGTTAAAAGTAAAGCGCGGATCTCGGTCCGAGACTATACTCGACGGAACACCATGAAGTCTGACGATTTCATCCATGTACAACTTGGCCATTCTCTCCAAGGTATAATTGACTTGTAGGGTAAAAAGTGAGCAGATTTTGTCAATCTGTCCACCACCACCCAAATAGCATCATACCCTTCGGGTGTCCTCGGCAAACCTACAATGAAGTCCATGGAGATGCTGTCCCACTTCCACTGAGGAATTTCTAGCCCTTGTAACAAACCTCCAGGTCGTTGATGCTCTATCTTGACCTTCTGGCAGGTTAAACACCGAAGTACGAAGTCAGTCACTTCCTTCTTCATGTTGGGCCACCAATACTGCTGCTTTAGGTCGTGGTACATCTTGGTTGCTCCAGGGTGGATGGCGTAACGGCTTCGATGAGCCTCCTCTAGGATAGTTCTTTTAATCTCCTCATCCTGGGGAACACAAATCCGGTTCTTATACTTCAGGATGCCCATATCTCCAAGTTCATAGTCCTGTACTGGGCCATCCTCCAATTCTACCTTAATCTTTGCCAACTGATCATCTTCCCATTGAGCCGCTTGTAAATCTTGATAGAATTCATAATCTCCAAGCACTGCACATAAGGTAGCCTGCTCCGATGGTACAATTGGGATCTCTAATAACTCCTCAAGCAAGAATTGTTCCTTTAAGCTTATGCAAAACACATGCACTGCTTTTCTACTCAGAGCATCCGCTACCACATTTGCTTTTCCAGGATGGTACTTAATCTCAAAATCATAGTCCTTCAGGAACTCCATCCAACGATGCTGCCGGTTGTTCAACTCTTTCTGATCCACCAAGTATTTCAAACTTTTAAGGTCACTGAAGACTTCAAACTGGGAGCCATACAGATAATGCCTCCAGATCTTTAGTGCAAAAACTACTGCCGCTAGCTCCAAGTCATGGGTTGGGTAGTTTTCCTCATGTGGCCTTAGCTACCTGGAAGCGTATGCCACCACCTTATTGTTCTGCATTAGCACACAACCCAAACCCTTTAGTGACGCATCGGTGTAAAGAACATAAGGTACTCCGGGGGTTGGAAGAGTAAGTACTGGAGCTGTAGTCAACTTGGTCTTCAGCTCTTGGAATGCTGATTCACATTTCTCCGTCCAAACAAACGGTTGATCCTTCTTGGTTAACTTAGTCAACGGCATTGCAATCTGAGAAAATCCTTGGATGAACCGCCGATAGTAGCCAGCTAATCCCACAAAACTTCGTACCTCAGTTACCGATCTAGGGACTTCCCACTTAAGTACTGCGTCCACTTTGTTAGGATCCACTGCTACTCCCTGAGCTGACACCACATGACCCAAGAACTTCACTTCTTTTAGCCAAAACTCGCACTTTGACAGCTTAGCATACAACTGGTGATCCCTCAATATCCGTAGTGCAATGTGAAGATGCTCTCGATGTTCTTCCTCACTTCTAGAATAAATTAGAATATCATCGATGAACACTACCACAAATCTGTCCAAATAAGGTCGGAAGATCCGATTCATGTAGTCCATAAAGACAGCTGGAGCATTTGTCAGTCCAAAAGGCATCACTAAAAACTCATAATGTCCATAATGAGTTCGAAAGGCCGTTTTTGAGATGTCCTCTGCTCGAACCCTTAACTGATGGTATCCCGACCTCAGATCAATCTTAGAGAAAACTGATGCTCCAACTAATTGGTCCAATAGGTCATCAATTCTAGGCAACGGGTATTTGTTCTTGATTGTGACCTTGTTTAATTGTCGGTAGTCGATACACAGCCTCAAGCTACCATCTTTCTTCCTCACAAACAAAACCGGCGATCCCCACGGTGACACACTTGGTCGGATAAGTCCCTTTTCTAGCTATTCTTCTAGCTGCTTTTTCAACTCGACTAATTCTGAAGGAGACATTCTATAGGGAGCCTTGGAGATTGGGGTAGTTCCCGGAACCAACTCTATGGAGAACTCTACTTCCCGCTCCGGAGGTAGTCCTGCAACCTCCTCCGAAAACACTTCGGGGTAGTCCCTCACCACAGCTATCTGTTCAATTCCTCCTGCCTCATCCTCTCTAATTGAAAAGAAGACAATGAAGGCCTGGCACCCCTTCCTCACTGCCTTCTCTACTTGAGCAGCTGACAACAAAACCGGACCACTTGACAACTCAGCACATAAAGCACCTACCGGAATTGTCACCAACCTCCTTTTACAATCAAGGATTGCTCCATTGGCCATCAACCAATTCATGCCAATAATCACATCGATACCTTTCAGAGGTAGACAAAACAAATCTATTGTAGAATCTCGACTCTCAAACTGAAGTGCAAGCTCTAGACACGCTCTTCTAGTTACAACAGTGACTCCAGCAGGAGTAGACACTCTTAAGTCATAAGGTAGCTCAACCACAGGCAAGCTCAACTTCTAAGCACAGTCCACAGAAATAAAGGAGTGCGTAGCACCCGAGTCAAACAAAGCAGAAATAACATGTCCCTCAAGTAGAATGTTACCTCGAATCAAGTTCGGAGATGCAGAAGCCTCCTCATTTGTCATCGCATAGACTCGCCCTGGAACAGTAGAACGACCAGCTGGAGGTGTCGGCTGACTCTCTGGACAGTTTCTGGCAATATGTCCCCACCGGTGGCATCGAAAGCACTCCCAGCATTGCCCTGCATGCCTACCCCCGCATCTGGGGCACGGTCCAGTAACACTCGGGGTGGTCACTGATGAATCTCGACGGGAGCCCTGTCCCCCACCAGTCTGATTGTTTGGATTCTGGCGCCTCTGCATAAAGCCCCTCTGAGCGTTCACCCTCTGATTCTGCCCTTGGTTCCTGTTTCTCCCTGAGCTACTCGAGCTCCCAGAGCTATATTGACTCCTCTTCCCCACTCCTCCTGTAGGTCCAGGGTAACGGGCTGCTCTAGCTTAGTTCTCAGCCCTCCTTGCCTCTACCACCTCTCTTGTCCTTCTAGCCGCAACCTGCAGCTTCACACACATCTCCTCAAAGGTCTTGACCTCTAACAAGGCCAATTGCTGTTTCAACTCCGGTCTTGCACGGTTCATCAATTGTTGAGCTAACCAGAGTGAATGATCTTCTGTCTGCCTGGGCACATACTTTGCCAAATCTATAAACCTTGTGATAAACTGGTCCTCATGCATCTCGCCCTGCTTCAAGGAGTAGAATAGGAATTGCTTTTCCATTCGCAACTCCTTCGGAAAGAAGTGATCATAGAACATCCGCTTGAAGGTATCCCAATCCAGTTGAGACATATCAGAAGGTCTTGCACTATCCCACCAATGCCTTGCTTGCTCCACAAGATAGGTGACCTCCACTTGTACCTTGAGCGGGGAAAGACAAGGAACAGCAGTAAAGATTGTCTCCATCCGCTCAATCCATTTCTCTGCATCTGACGGTTCCAAACTTCCCTTGAACTGGGGAGGATCATGACGATGCACCTCTCTCCATACCTTGGTGATATCATTCAGGAGCGGAGGGTAAATCACTCCCTCTGAAGTATCTCCTCCCTGGCTAGCCGCTCGATACTCCTCCCTCTGAGGTAAATCTCCAGCTTGATCACCACTCCTAACCCCTCTTTCTCCTACTCCTCGTGCTTCCATAGTCACCTCATTCTCTCGGTCTTCTTGATTGACCGACTCTTGGTGCTTCCTCGTGAAGTCTTCTTCAAACTTCCTCAGCCTTTCATCCACCACCGCTGTCATCATCTCCCTCATTTGTCTCAGAAAAGCCTCATTCTCTTGAGGCGGTCCATTACCGGCTGGATCTGTTTGACGTGTCCGTACCATCCTTCCTCTCCCCAACTAAGGATGGAAACCCTCATTAGTAAAGAAAGAAAGGAAACACAAAACAAAGAGGGAAGGTATGTATAAAGTATGTATATTGCCACTAGGAAAAGAAACAATTTCAAAGAAACAAACCGGCTCTGAATACCAATTTGTAAAACCCTTAACCTCAAAACATCATAACTCGTCATAAGACCGCTACTATGGTAGAAAAGGAAAGCTGTTAAAACGAGCTACCATAGTAGAAGGAAAATTCATATTTTTAGAAATTGACTTTTAAGCTCGGGTCAACCCGTAGGACGTTGCATGCAACTAAAATGATCCATTCATATCTACTGGGCCTCCGAGCCTCCGGCCCGGGTAACACATACATAAAAAATCAGCCCATCCAAATAGTTTTCCACCAAGTAAAACAAATTCCATAAAACAATAGCAATGGCCTCCGGCCAACTAAACAAGGAGATAACGTATCCTCCAATTTACAATAGATCAACAATCAAAATATCACAAAAGACCCTAACTGTGGCAATATACAACAGATCATACATAGACAAAAAGCAAGAGGCCTACAGCTAACCAAGCTCAAGCCTCTGCGTCTCTTCCCGAAGGCGCACGCCTAGAACCTTCTCCTGAAAACATTGTAAACCACGGGGTGAGACAAAGTCCCAGTAACCAACCTTTCCAATACTAGGTACTACTAAATAGGTGCTCGTGAGGTGTCAAGTGGGGCAGTTCACAAATAATATAAAATGATAGCCACAACAATTCATGCAAGTGCAATGATGCAATCCCATCAACCAAATCCCTCACTTTGGGGGATTTTCAGGAGCCGAAGCCGGCCTATCCCTCACTATGGGGGACGTAAGGAGCCATAAAAGGCCTATCCCTCACTCTGGGGGACGTAGGGAGCCAAAAGGCCTATCCCTCACTATGGGGGACGTACTAAGCCAACCATCATGCATTAATGGAGGCCTTACCACGTGGTAGTAACAGACAAATCTCTCACCAATTCCCAATTAATGCATCATCTCAAATCATAATCAAAGAGTAATAATCATTTCACAATTAACCTCATTCAGTGGCATATCTTTCACAACTTCAAGATTTCATTCATCATCAATCAAAACCCCACAAGACGGTTTTCCTTTTTATACACAACATATAGTTTGAACACAATTACTACTTGGAGCACAAAACACAAATCTACTCACAATACCACAGAAGCAAGTACTAAGGATTGGAAAGTGGTTACCTCTCGCTTGAGCAAGGAACAACAAACCAACAATGTGGCCCCGTGCACCACCACGACTCACAACCGGTCTACACAAGCACACAAACACACAACCATCATATATTAGCTTTCAACTAATAATGTGGCCAAAACAACACTTGGGGACACAAAATTCCTATCTCCCATCAAAACTCTACCCAACTCAAAGGGTATAACTATCAAAACAACACTCCAAAGTCCTCAAAATCTATTAAAACATCAAGTCTCCTTCCAAGCATCAATTAGAATTCAAACCTCAAGGACCCACTATAGGAATTCAACCTCCAACATCTCATTTGAGCAATTAAGGTTCCAACAACAAATCTAAACCGATTAAACATCCAATTTAACCCTCCTTAACATAACCCAATTCACAAAACTCAAAATCAATCTCTACATTATCATCCTCAATCCCAAATCATCCATTTCCATAAACCCTAGCTCCAAAAACTCAAGATTCTTTAAATCCAAGAAAACTACACCGATTAAATACTTAAACTAACCCAATGCAATCAATTAAACTCAAAACAATCGGTCAAAAACCTCAGTTTCATCACAACTTAGAAAATCCTAGGGTTCCACCAAAAATCCTCAGAAATTCCAATCAAGAAGATAGATTAGAGGTTAAAATCACTTACTTGAGGTAATGGATCCTTAGAAATGTCTCCTCCAAGCCAAAAGTTCGAAACCCTAGCAGAGCTCCTCTCTCCTCTTTCAGATTTTTCTTATTTTCGCACGCTGAACCCTCCCGCGACTATATAGATTCGCGACCTTTCGCCGCGGCAAACTAATCCCGAGAGGGATTACTCGCCTGAAAACCTGACTTCGCCACGGCGAAAGCTTCCCGAGAGGAAACTCTCGCTCGCCCAGAAAACATTCGCCGCGGCATACCCCTACCTTCGCCGCGGCGAAACCTTCCCGAAAGGGAAGCCTCGCTCACCTGAACAATTTCGCCGCAACGTCCCCTAGACTTCACCGCGGCCAAACCTTCCCGAGAAGACACTCCCCTCTGAAACTCCCGGTGCGCCGCGGCGAACATACCCTGAGAGGGGTACGTTCACCTATTCCTCCAACAAACCTCAAATTCAACCCAAACACCCAGATCAAGATTAAATCACTAATCTATCCTCAAAATCAACCCAAAAGAGGCTATTAAAACCCGATAAAAACTTAAGATGTTACACCACACATGCACAACTTGATATCTTTAACACAACAAGGTTTAATCATCATCTAACAATCATTCTCTATCCTTTAATCCATATAACAACTTAATATCAATCATAAATCATCAAGAGACCATTGGGACAGCATTAACCCTTGGAGTTTCTAACCATTAAACTACACCAAAACCAAGTTTAAAACCATCAATTCCAAGAGAACCAGGTACTAGATAGAATAATCAAGCTCTTACCTTGATTAGTGACTTGAAAACACTTAGTTTCACCTTGATTTTTCTCTCCTCCTTCTCTTTTCCACTTGGCAAAACATGTGCAGCACCTCGATGTTACACCTTCCTATCGGTTCGACTTAGAGTTCAATTAAAACCATTTTAGACCACATTGGATGGTCTTGGGCTCAATTTTTTTCACAGAAATGCTAATTTTTGGATTTTTACTGTTCATCGGGTAAAAATCCAGTTTTTGTAATCCAACTTCGGAAATTCATAACTTAATCTAGACAAATCAAAATGGAGTGGTTCAAAATTCTATAAAAAGCTCTTTGAATGTTCTTTTAAGGAAAAATAATCTTGTGAAGAATCCCATTTACAAAAGTGTCAGGTTTTGTAAAAGTCACCTCTGTCTTTTTGGCAAAAACTCTTTTTCTAGATTCTGGATCTTAATTTTGAAAAAACATTGAAAATCGTATAGTTAGCTATTTTTAACATGCTACCTATTGATTTGAAGCTCATGATGTGAACTTTAAACATACCAAATTTTGTGAAGAAATTTGTTTAGAAAATTAATAAAAATGTGTCTCTAATTTGACATCCTGCTTAGGGATTATAGCACCAACCATACATACTTATACATAACCAAATATAAATGTTTCCTCATGGTTCATCACCATATTTATCCTTGGATTTGTAGTCTCCCTTTTGATGATTACCTAAAATGTTAGGTTACACATGGGGGATGAGATTTCAATGAAATCCCAATAGCAAGATCAATCAACCAAAACATCAACATGCATCAATTACAAGCATTCTAACCTTTTGCTATTAATAGGGAACTACTTTATCTCATACATATAGCACTCTAACATGCAATAGCCAAGGCACTTAAAGCAAGGAGTATAGCTACACAATCACCATCATCATCATCATCATTTAGCTCAACCACATAATAGCACATGAAATTACATAGTAATCAATGCAACACTCAAATTAAGGTTAATTAAATCTTACTACCTTAATCCAAATGCTCTTGATTCTTTAACCTTCTTCCTCTTCTCCACAATTAACAAACCCTAATCATGATATATCACAAAAAGGGCAGCATGGTTACCAACTGTTCCATATAAAATTAACAACATAATTCAAGTAACTCCTAAACCCCTTAAAGCTTCCATTTTTGTTCTTAGAATTTTTAGAGTTTATTCCCTTAACCCTAAAAATTCCCTCTTGGCTCAATCCTACATGATTTTTCATGTAGATTCCAAATATCTACTTAGATTTAACAAAAGAAAATTCCTTCTTATAGTTTCAGCTTGGCCGAAC